CATTTTCTATTTTTGCAGCCTTTGTCTATGAGTAGTATTTTTATACGTAATTCAGAATTCTACCTGAGAAGTCCAATGTTTCCCTGATTTGTCGATTCTAGGAAGGATATGAATAAATTGATGGCAGGAACTTTTGGAAATTATTATTTACATGCATATCAGTCTATTTGTGCCTAATTTGGGCCCTACATTTCTTCAAAATTTGCCTCAAGGTCAAAGAACTTCAGAAAATCCAACTTCTGTATATAATCCACAATTACATATAAAAATACTACCCATAGACAAAGGCTGTAGGGAACGGAAATGTGGAGAAACATAGTGCGGAAAATACTATCAAATTTAATGTATATGTATATTGACAAAGATTGAGGATATTCAAGATCCAAGTCTTATGTATAGTACAAAAATAGTATTTTTTATCCGTGATTTTTTTTCAAACCTCAATAACTCAGTCAATTTACATGATAAAGTTTAATAGACTATATATTCTTGATCTGTGAATGCAGGAGCAGGTAAGTACAGATTTATGACATCATATGATGACATCAAAATTTTGGTGGTCAGACAGGCAAATGGCCCCATATGATACTATGTTGAAGTCATTTTGAAATCTTTCTGAATCTTTCATGAATCTTTCATGAAGCCATGGTAATCTCTGGCCTGCCAGAGCCTAGCAGCTGGGGGCTGTGATTAACAAGTTGAAAATGACCCCAAAAGAATTCATGGTCACATTCTTGTCATCAAACCAAGAAGAGCTTGTATTTCGCCAACGGTTGAGCAAGATTGGCCTAGGCACAAGGCAGACACAATCAATTTTTAAAAACCTGAGTCAATTGGCCGTGGCTTCCCCCAAGGGTTGCAATGTGTGGGAGAATTTAATATTAGACAAAGTACGTAGTGCCGCCTTGTACTTGCGCGTCTGACGGCAGCCTAATCCGCTGATGAACGTTGCGCCCAGATGGATTCATCCGCAGGCCACGACATTGTGAACAGACAAGAAGTGACACAAGGTAGCTTTCCGACGGGCACATTTGTCAGCTCAAATGTGATCACACCGGACTTTTTCATTGAGAGTGCTGAACAGCATTGAAATGATCAAGTGCGCACTGGAATGAAATTCCTACACACCTTGGTCAAACAAAAGATCGCACACGCCATGAAGATCAGTGAACCAGTTTTGTATGATGACGTTTGCCAGTCAAATCCAAACAAAGACAATATCTTTGGTGGTGTGGACCAGGTCAAAGGCACTATGAATGATGAAACCGTGTTATCTCTGGAAAATTTGGTTCATATCAAGCCAACCCCCGCGAGCCAGGCTGAGCATAAGCTTGCCAAGGTCAGAAGTCTAAATCACTGGGGTTTATTTCAACGACTGACCTGACTGCGATGGCTCTATTCAGATACCCACGGTGGTGTGCAGCATGATATCAGTTGCTTGCAACCAAAGGAGCAATGCTAATAGCTATACCCTTGGCAAACGGGCACATGACTCTAGCTGCCTGAGTGTCCTGCCGGGTTAACAAATGGTTGCACGCTTTGGGGCTGACTTCCACACAGACAAGCATCCTGCAGGCTATGGAGCATCTGGGTGTACTACAAGAAAAGCGCATGATGGATTTATTCAAAATAAATCATAAATTGATGCCATTTCTATGCTACGATAACGTGGACATACAGTTGAAGATTCACAATAGCTGTGTTGATAAGACCACTCGCCTGTTCCACGGAACGTGGGGGTTCTTCAACGTTTTCCAATCAGAACTTTTGGCGGAGTGTTCAACAGAGGAATTGGGCCTGCCTTCGTTTGTGGAGGCCATGGCTGCAGCAGACAAGAAGCCTGTTAACCTGGCTATGTTCTGCCCCAAAGCTCCGGACATGGAACATTGGAAGTTAGTCATTAAAGGCCAACTCGCCAAGGCTCTCAAGGAGTATGTAGACCACATACCCGGTTTGCCTGCGAAAACCCAGCTGCCTTCACTAAGGACGACACCGCCTCCTATTGATCCGATTTCTATGCATAAACCAAACATCCACTTCCTACGGATGATGGAAGTGCCGGATTCTTCAGCGGAGGGGGTTTCCCGCGTGCTTGACAAGGTTCTTGCCCAAATTGGATTAGACAGTGGGACTTACGCGAAGCACCTGCTGGTCGCCGGGGGCGATGTTGGTTTGAACCAGCTCGTGGAGAGTTTACGCATTAAACACTTCCCTCCTATTGATTTGGTCAAGGGGTATGAGTGGGTGTTGTCGATCTTCGGAGGTGCGCACACCTCCTGGAATTTCACAAAAAGCCTGTGGAATCATCATTGGGGGGACCCCGCCAACAGGTTAGATTCAGGAGTCTGGCAAACCATGTTTGCTTTGGGGTTGGAGTACAAGAAGCCTGCCACAATGCAGGACTTCAACATTATCATGCAATCCTGTCAAATGGTCCATAAAGCAAACCTTATATTTGTTATCTCAGAAGTCCTTAGGTTTGGTTCAATCAGAGTAAGGCACACTTAGCTGACGTTCTTGAGGTAATAGCCAAGCCGTAAAGTCATTGGGCGATGTTGATATAACCAAGATGGTGAATGTTGAAAAAGTTATTGAACACTTCTGGGAAGAGTATTTTGACGCGTCAGCTATTGAAACTGCTCGGCTCAGCGGCAACCACACAGCTTATAATCTGCACTTACAATTGCGCGATTTGGCAACCATTGTGGAAGCGCAAGAGGCGACTCGTGCTGGTGATATTGGGTGTTTGATGACAATGTGGAAATGGTGGTCAGTCATGGCACAAGGACTGCCCGGCCTTTCCCACTACAGCCGCCATATTCCACGGATAGTGAGGTTATTGGAACAGGACCTGCCTAAAGGGTTGGCACATGTAATAAAGCATTTGCTGTTGATTCCATCTAATGAGCGAGGCAACCATTGGTTGCCTATTGACAAGTACATGGAAATACACATATTTTGGCTCAAGAACCATTATGATTCCACGGAAATATTGCAAATTCCTAAATCCAATTAGAATACTATCTGGTGATACTTACAAACGGTTTGGTTGATCCCCTCAGGGACAAGGAACAGACCTTCACTGCCTGACGTATCTATGTCAATATTGGATGATAAATTTACAAAAAGAATGGAAAGTAACTCCATAATCTGAATCGAGATCAATAATACCTGCCTTGCAAATGTCTATGGAATGCGCCTTCACCTATCTAGGCGTCCCAAACAGGCCTATGTAGCCTAATGATCATCGAATTCGGTTGATTCATTGTCCGAATTGTCTTCCTCCCCGGATTCATCCTCCTCCCCGGATTCATCCTCCTCCCCGGATTCAAAAAGAAGATCATCACCGCAATCTCTGATCATATTCATATCAATTCCATATCCCCGACTGAAGACTCTTAAGCTTGCAAAATCGCTAGGACAAATGGCAGCAGAGCGATTTGTCATATGAAACTTACTTAGTTTGGGCCAATGTAGATCTTGAATTAATTCCTTTAAATCTTGATAATAGCAACGTGGAGTTTCACCTAATGAAATCAATGAAAGGTTCTCCAAAGGGTGAAAAGCTCGTAAAAATTGGACGGGCAAGTTATTTGAGATTTCTAGGGCAGTGAGGTTAGGCAATTCGAATCGAAAGTTATGAGTTGATAAGTCTTGAATGATTAAATTTGAATTTCGACTGCCATCGTGATGAACAGGTATGTTGCCTAATGTAAGTGTTATTAGTGTCGATTTGAAAAGTTCAATGAATCCGTGTAAAGCTGGTAATGTGAGTCGATCACAACGTTCTAATGCCAAGTATGTCAATGAGCTTTTCCAATGGAGCCGATTCCAACTCGAATCCAAACATTCAGCTTGGGTCAAATCTAATTCAACAAGATGTGTAAGTGATGCAAGGTGAATGCCAAGTGGAGATTGACAAGCTTGTTTGTCTTCTTGGTTGTATAAAGGCTTTGGGTGAGTGGCATCAATCCTTGAAGAAGTGAAACTTTGCAGTTGAGATAGGTTTATGATGATGTCTACTATGAAATTCTCGGTGTAAGGCGGTCCGTGACCATAAGATTCTAATGAAAGTTGAGTAATTGAAGTGAAGGCAGTGATGGGTAGGATTTTGCATAAGTGGAACATTGAATCATCATCAGATGAAGTAGCTTTGCAATGTTGTCTTTGATTAAGAATCATATCGAGATTGGTGAGATGAGGGCAAGATATTAAGATCTTCTGTAAAGCTTCAAATTGCAACTTAGGATCCCGGATTGACCTATCTGAGGTATGCTTCAGAGCCTCAGGTAACTCCAACGTGGAAACTGCCCACTGAATCTTTCTAACGTGATCTGAATGCCGTGGAACGATGTTTTCAAGTACGAAATTCAATGTGTCCACCCTACGATATGCTGCAGCTAAGTCAATGTACTGGCAAATGAAGGCACAACAATATCGATTCATCAATTACTCAACTGTGAGAAGAAGACAACAATGATAGGCCAAATCAAATGTCTACCTTGTAAAGAAAAGGAGAACACAGCTGATAGAACAAACGATTGACGGAGGCAAGTAATCGGATATCCGTCAAGCAAATACGACCTTGAAAGGAGCAAGGTTCAAGGAAATGAGGTTTTGTCAGTAGTTATATGCATATAAAGAACATAGATGGGGGCAGTCAACACAGAATCAGAAAACCCAATGGATTCCAAATTGATTGCGAGGACTCAAGAAAAAGGATGATAATGAAGTGGGTAGAATGGTGAGATGGTATATGCAATCAATCATTCACTACCCACGTTCTTCTTGGAATTGTCGACGAACTCGAGGATGATTGCTGTTGTTACCGGTCTCCTTTCGACATGGAACTGGGCGTGGGTCACGAAGATGAGAAACCCAGTATAGGATGCTTTCTATGATTTCAATTGGCATAGATGACAGATTGCTCGGAATGTATGAAGGTGCCATTGGAGTTTGTTCGTCAAGCATTGGCTTTGGTCTTAAGCTGTAATGTAACCTATCTTTGAAGCTTTGAGTACTTTTTGGTGAGATCGATGCTTTTGTTGGGCAAATAGTGCGTAGTCATGAGTAAATAGTCGGGCGACGGGTAGTGCGTGTGTAGAATTGCCAAACAAAAACACCGAAATCCAAGACATGAAGGCTATCAACTTCTTCGAAAATCCAAAAAATGAAAGACCCTCAAAAACCTCGATCAATGACGTCATGATGATTCTTTTCGGTGTGGACTTTGTCTGATTTGATGCGCTTCGAGGATGAAGAAGAAAGCTTGATGATCCGATTTGAAATGGGAAGAAACTGAGACAAACCATCAATCTCAGTCTCAAGAAACTTCACTCTTGAATGAAAGAAATCAACCATTCAAGATGAGATTACTTTCATATCTAAATCAAACTAGAACTAGAACCAGAACCAGAACCTTTCTTACTAGCAATAGATTACCAATTCAACTACTCATCAAAGCTGAAGCAACCTCACGTCTTTGGGAAAGAAGAACACCTTTAGTACCTGATGATATCACTCATCTCTTCGATTCATTAGGATCTCAATCCATCAACATCAAACTGGAATCAAGTCAAAAACGTATCTTTGATGATCAATCATATGAAAAGGTAAGCTTTTACATATATCCTTTTATCCAAAGTCTTGACAATCTTGAAATCTGATCATTAAACTTGATCGAATGATTTTTTATTGCAGGTCGGAGCTCAAATCGTTCCGCCCGGTACAGCTGATGGTGATGCAGACCTGATCTTAGCAATCAAAGAAATCTCAATCAATGACTTAAATCCAACTTCATCGACTAAACCAAATCATAAACGTACCTATTGCTTGTATGTCTCTCTCTCAATTCAGATCTTACAAAAAAAATACATGTCTTCAACAGATCTGAAATCATTTTGTTTGACTGTAGTTTTTCACATACTCATAAAGGCCAATCTTATAATGTTCCATTGTTACAGAAGATGGTCTCTTCAGGTGATAGGTTTATTGATTGGGAATTACTCACGAATCCTCATTCTGGATCTAGAACCGTTTCTTTTGGTAGACTGGCTGGTTTAGTAGGTCACACCCTGACAATCAACATCAACCTGGTTTTAGTGTACCACTTAGCTTTTTTTTTACAAATCTTTAGGTAGGTGCAGCTGAAGCATTATCAGGATTAGGTTTAGCATGTTTACGACATGGTGTTTCAACCCCATTCTTAGTAAGTCAATTCGATCAGACCATCATAGCAATCACTTCATCAATTCATGACTGGGTTCATTTGATTTGTAGAATTTGGCAAGACCTTACACATTCAATTCTGAGGTTGAATTAATGAATGCAATCGGTAGATTAAGAGATCGAATTCATCGTGAAGGTTATAATGGAGATCATCCGATCAGTGTGGTTATCACAGGTTCGACTGGAAGGGTAGGGAAAGGAGCCGTAGAAGTTTTAGATCAAGTTGGGATTCAATGGGCAACGGATTTGAATGAATTTCGTCAAATGGCTAAAGGTAATCTAAACTTTTGATCTCACTTCATTGGAAGGATTGATTTCGATGAATGACATTTATAATGTTTTTTTCTTTTTAGATGAAGAGGGACATCATAGACAGCATAAGATTATTGGATACAAACTTGGATTAGAAGATCATTTGATTAGACTTGATGATTCAAACTCACCTTTTGATCGTCAACTTTATAATTCATCACCCGAACTCTTTCGTTCAACTTTTTCCAAAACCGTGAGTCACAATCTGTGTCTCAAATATTTCGACTCTTGATTATTTCAATCGAGATCGATACTGATTCTTGTGGATTTGTTTGTGGAATCGACAAGGTCGCTCCTTGGACTAATTTATTGATCAATGGATCATATTGGAGTTCGGAATTTCCTAGGTTATTAAATTCAACAGATTTGATTAGCTTACTGCAAGATCAAACGATTAATAGGATGTGGTCTGTAGCTGATATTTCATGCGACTTTAAAGTTAGTCATACCGATTGTTATTTTTTTAATGAACGTTTCATTTTATCCAAAACTTAACTCATCTATCTCTATCAACGTAGGGAGGTTTAGAGTTTGTAGAAAGAGCTACATCTATTGAAGACCCTTATGCTTACTTGGGAGTCAGTCAAGATCATCAAAGAATAGAAGAAGTACCATGGAGACACCCAGCTTCAACCCTTCAATTAATCTCCATCGGTTTGTCAATCATCCCAATTTTTCAACGACTTATCAACACTAATAAGTTTCTCTTTTAGAAATCTTACCCACCGAGTTGGCCAAGGACGCTTCGATTGCATTTTCTAAAGCTGTTGTACCATATATAAAAGCTTTTGTTGAAACCAATGAAGATTTAAATCATCAACTTGATTCAGCTACAATTTGTAGTGATGGGAAACTCAAACCGGCTCATGAATCTCTTCAAGCTTTGATCACCATAGATGATACACCTAGAAAAGTGGTTTTATTCGGATCAGGGTACGCAACATACGCAAAATCCATTCCATCTTCTTTCCTTCTTTGCTCATTTTCTGATTATCAATTGCTGAATTTGTTCTAGGATGGTGGCTTTACCTGCTATACAAACTTTATTGAGTGATCCGAAAGTAGAAGTGATTTTGGCTAGTCAATTTGAATCTGAAGCTAATGAATTAAAATCAAAGTGTGGACCAGAGGCTGAGAGTCGGATCAAAGTGGTCAGAATTGATGTGATGAATGATGAAGAAGGGTTAAGGGAATTGATGAAGAGTGCAAGAGTAGTAGTAAGGTAATGATTCATTCATTTTTAAGGTCTTTTTTCCATTCAATTTTCAAACGTTTTGGACTCACATGATTTTTCTTTTTTTTCTTTCGCTAGCCTTTTACCAGCACGAATGCATCCGGTAATCGCAAGACATTGTATAGAATCAAATGTTCATTTAGTGACAGCTTCATATATATCGAAAGAAATGGAAGGCTTTCATCAAGAAGCTAAAGAACGAAAGTTGATGTTTTTAAATGAATTAGGATTAGATCCAGGTATAGATCATATGAGTGCGATTCAAATGATCAAGAAGTATCAAAGGAAAGGCTATATGATCAAATCCTTTGTGAGCTTTTGTGGAGGCTTACCTGAGTTTAGAGATCGGTTGATTGGCTATAGGTTTTCTTGGTCTCCTAGAGGTGTTTTGGAAGCTTTAAAGAATCCAGCCAAGTTTAAATTGATGGGAAAGGTAAGAGATTCTTTCCTAACCAACTTGGTTTTTTTATTTAACTGATAATTGATTTTTCGGATAGTCGTATGAAATTGAAGGACAAGATTTGGTTAAGAAACGGTTTGATAAGATTGGTAAAAGTTTGTTTAATGGAAGGTACAAGTTGGAAGGATTAGCGAATCGAGATTCATTAAGTTATATAGAGAAATATGGATTACGATTTGATGAATTAGATAGTATGATGAGAGGTACATTGAGGTATGAAGGGTTTGGTGAAGTGATGGAAGTGGTGGGTAACTTAGGATTATTGAGTGATCAGAGATGGCCAAGTTTTGAAAAGATGAAAGTAGCAGAACAGATGAAGGATAGGAAAGTTTTGAAGGTTTTGGAAGAGTTGAGTTTTGAGACATGATGATGATTTTTTCTTTGATAAGAAGATTTCTTCGCAACTGATTGGTTTGGTTTGAATTTGTTTATGTTAGGTTGGAGATTTTGAAAGCTGGAAAACTTAATGTTTTAGAAGATCAAACCCATCAAAGTCCAATCGAATGGTTAAGTGAAGTCTTATCCAACAAATTAAAGTATCGATCAGGAGAAAGAGATATGGTTTTAATGAATCATGAAATCAGAATTGAAAGAGAAGGTCAAACAAAAAGAGTGAAGATGTGCTTGGAAGAAAAAGGTGAAGCTATGTCAAGAACTGTTGGATGTCCTATTGGGATTGGAGCCTTGATTATATTGAATGAAGAAGCAAAGATGGAGAAGATGGAAAGAGGTGTGATTAGACCGATTGAAGATGAGTTCTCTTTGATGGTTTTGGATAGGTTGGAAAAGGTTGGGATTAAGTTGAATGAAGAGGTTATGAAGAATGAAGAACTTGGGATTGAAGATAGGTTAATTCAAAGGGTGGTTGGGTTGAGGAAGTAAGTGGGAAATCATGGTTTGTTTTGAACTTGGGAATTGTGGAATGGTATGATCTTGGAGTCTTGAATAAAGCAAATTAAGTAAAAATGATGGGAAAAAGTATGTTGTATATTAAAGTGTACTTTTGTGGTGGTGGTGGTGGTGGTTCTTGTTGTTGATGTTTGTAATTTTGTAAAACTAGTTTTCCTCACTTGATTTTTTGATTATCTTTTTTTCTGTGGAAATCTTGTTTAAGAATCTTGATTATTAGTTTTTCTTTTCTTTCAGTTTGTATGATGCATATGTTTAGTTTGATTGCAATTTGATAAGCATTTCATTGGATTTCTTGTTAGCTTTTTTTGGAATGATGTAAAGGAAGATAATTAAGAACTATGAGTATGAAATCTTTTTTACAGTCAAGTTAGTTTAGATTACGAATACTGTACTCTCTGCTATTTTTACTAAAAAAATTGATGATCTTTTTGAGCTTGAAGGACTTTTTTTCTCAGACCCAATCTACCATAAAGATTCCTCTGATACCATTGAGTGACCTATTCAACCTGTTTCCATCCCTGCCAAAAGCTCCTGAAAGATGATTCAAGTTCCACACAAAACCATCAGAGGTAATCAAAAATATGGGATTGTGTTAAATTTGTTGAACAGGAGGAGTTTATCAGCCATCCATGGATATCCAAGCAGGCCATTTGACCGGCTTGTAGAAAGAGTGTATTGCCTATACCGAGTTTCAAAACAAATGATTTTAATATCTGTGTAGAAACATGAAGTAATTATAGATATAATGGTGAAGAGGAGCACAAAGTAGGCGTGCACGTATGATCATATGAATTGAAAGTGGAAACAAACTTGCATATTGTGAAGGTAAACACTTGATCTTCAGTGCTATCATGATCAACAGAAAAAATAACCAATCCTCATCATCTCAAAATCAAATATTATGATGTCTTATAAAACAAATATCACATTGCACAGAGAGGTAGAAACCAAAAGAAAATCTCCCACACAAATCTTCTGGCATAGGGTGTAATGAAGAAGACCAGTGAACTAAAACCTAAACTCAGGGTCTAACTTCAACCCTACTTTTCCTTCTCTTTTGTTGATTCAAGAACCTCCCAGAGTCTGAGGCATCAAACTTTTCCCAAAAATCTACAAAGAATTCATCTTGTGGATCTTGATGAATGAATTCAGCAAAAAGTGTTACTTCAAATTTATCAGATCCAGGAAGGCTATCTTGTAAAAACAAATGAATCCCACGAGAGAAATTCTTGAGAGTGTAAGGAGGAAAACCCAAGTTTTCTGGCTTTGAATTCCTGATGAATCTCACTGTTTCCAGGAAGTGTGTTTGCCAATTGTGGATGAAGCTAGACACTTGAGGATCTTGCTTCACTCTCATGTCATTCTCAATGTCCCCATTTAACAAAAGCATTGGCTCAGATTTACTCCTTAGTGGAAATTGGCATTTAGGCCAATGCACATCTTTAGCTGTGGTTGTGATCTCATCTGATTTGGTTTCCCACTTTGACCTAAGTGAATCATACACATCCTGATCATTTTGGCGGGTTGGATAACCAAGTTGATAGTCTCTTTCAAAAGTCACAGAAACATGCCGCTCCAAGATATCCCTAGTGCTCTGGTTTGCAGTGAAGCTATCTGAATCAGAATGAAACAGGTAGACAATCATGGCCAGTGTTGAGAGTTTTGGAGCCTTAAGTTGTATATCCATTGAATGTTTTATTGGAGTACCTTGTGATGATTTGATCTTTGGACCTAATTGTAAGATGTGGTAAATTACCTCTGTATGCCACAGGATGAATTGGGTAAGTTTCTCAATATTTGGCTCAGGATTTTCATAGTGATAAGCCTTGGAGACCAATGCTGTGAACCTTTTGATGTTTTCCCAGTCCCTAAAGCTTGGATTGCAAGTCAGAACAAAGTATACAAATGGAAGTAGTGTCTCTGATGTCCACATATGTGTTGCTACATGCCAAGCAGGATACTTTGATGCAATCTTCTGATTCTTGTATTTGATTGAGATGGCATCAATGAGATCTTGTGTATAATAGATTGCAGCCGATGAACACATTTTGTCAGGTGTGTGTGTGTGAAAGTTTTGTATATCAATACCTGTCATCCTTGGTTCAGAAGTTGATCCCATGTCTTTGGAAGGTGTGGGGGTCAGTTGCAGAAAATCAGCTGGCAATCCCCAATTATTGTGACCAGTACCTATTCTCTGAACCTTTTGATTCCTTGATTGTTGAAAAGGACTTCTTGTAAATTCTCCTTGATACTCCATTGAACTAACTGGTGGGTGTGTTGTAATTTGAGGCCCAAGAGATAGAAATCCTCCATCCATTTCTTCCCCATCACATAATCTATGAGGCTCTTTTGAAAGAAACTTGTTTGTGTCCATAGAAATAGCAATGCGGGCTGAGGTACACAATATTCCCACCACAAATTGGCTGAGGTTTATCATCTTGTAACCTTGGAAGGTAAATAATCTGATTGAGGCTAGTATTAGAAGATCAATTGAATGAGTGCTTATGAGGGAAATATGTGAGGTATGGTTGGAACAGCAAAGAAATTCCCCTGGAATTGTCTTCAAGTGGGAAATATCTTGATTGCATGTTGTTTAAAATTTAAGGGATGAAGTCTCACATGTTTGGAACCATCTTGAACATGTATTGAACTTTGTTTGAAACAATCTTTTCACAAACTCAATATGCATCAGGTGACTTCCAGTTGAAAGACTTCACCTCAAGTTTATAAATACTGGCTTTCTCTCAATAGACATTGAAAATTGTCAAATCAGTTAAGAAATACTTGTCATTGGATCTCATAAAATAACAACTCCAAATCAAAAATAGACGTCCGTATCGTGGACATGAAAAAACATTAGGAAGAAAGATGAAAAAAGACGAAAAAAGACGAGTGTATGCAGAGGACAGTTGATTAAGTGAGCATCTAGTAAAAATGAGATGAAGAGTGAAATTGATGAGTTGATTTGAAGTTTATTCTAGTCTGAAAAAATTAAAAAAGTGCATGCTTCAAGTTTATAGACGAATGATCAGAAATCATGTTTACAATACGATAGAAGGTTACATAGAGAAAAATGAAGATAACCTATCCAAATTAACAGAACAGATGGTATTAGAGTAAATGAGCAAAGAGAAAAAAATATTGCTAATAAAGTTGAACTAGGATGAAAAACAAAAGATGACAATCCAAAAAAATGTGTATAGAAGTTGACTAATTCTATGGAATTTCATTCAAGAGTCTTAACATATTCTTTAGCAGCTTTACGTAAAGTTCTAGCCAAATCTTCAGCAGCTCGATCCACATTAAGTAAATGTCGTTGAGTGACTTGTTCAGGTAAACAAGCTTGAAATTCTGAAATCATACCTTCTACTATGTTTCGATTAGGTTGATAATTAGGTAAATTGATACCTTTCACTATAGGAAATTTCCTTCCATCTATCAATGAACATTGTGAGTATAAATAATTGATTGTATTTGAAAATGTGTTAGGGGTGGCTTGTTGGAAAATAAAGATTGATGAATTATCTGGTGTATCTGAATCTTGATTGCTATTAGTCGCTTTTCCCTTCTTGGCAGCTTGGTTTTCTGAATTGGTCAAGGCTTTTACCTTTCGAGCACCTGTAAAGAAAAAGAAAGACATTAGGATGTGCAACGAAGTTAGAAGTGTTGAGGTTGAGTAGGCTCAATTAAACATCATGGTCAAATGATCTAGTCTGATTCTTACCATTAGTTTGCAAGCTGAAATAGGCAATATTAACTTCAAACGCAAAGATTGGTATGATTAAGAAAAAATCGCTGTATGCAAGAGTCAAGAGTAAGTATTTCAGTCATGATCAATCGTAACGCGAGTTGAGCTTACATGGCTGCGGTAACAGGAAGTAGACATCCCGAGCTGAAACACATTAAACGGAGGTTTTGTAAGCTTCAAATGATAGAATTGTAGGAAAAGGCCGAAGAAAGGAATTTGACCAACATGATAGATTGTTTAAATGCTTGTTTCTTAGCACTTTGTAACATCTTGGTGAAACTTTCCTTCATTTCGAATTCAGTTAATCGAGGAACGTTGATGGTTGGAGAAACGTCTTTGTTGGCGGGGTATATGATCTGGACCTATTTCCAAAGGCAAAGGTATGGATTAGTATTTGATTAGAGAAACGTGGAGAAAGAATCACATCACATGAAATTGGGACTCAACTGTTCCAAGTTTTTGCTTGGGCGGTAATCTACCCAAAGTCTCAATCGTACTATTAGGCATATATTTGATTACACTAGAAGCAGTCTAGAAAACCGAAAACCAAAAAAATGAGCTTTTCTACATAAGATTGATTTTGTAGAGTGTCAAGATCAAAAAAGAAACTCAACCCTGGCAGCTGCACCTTTGAACTTTTTCCACGTTCCTGCATCTTTATGTTCACCTCTCTTGATTTCTTCACCCTCTCTAACCTCTTGTTGCCAAATCCTTTCAGCTTTCTTGATAAGTTTCTCTTTACCGGGTTTTCCAGTTCGTGGATCTACTGGAGGCTTCTCATAAACTGATCGAGGGAATGTACTATATGAATTCAGAAATAATTATCAGGATCAAATTCAAATGGTTCAATTGAATATGAGAGACGACTTACTAGAGTAAGAAAGGTGGACTTGATTCAGTGGTTTTGTGATGATTCGCAGGCGTCGGAAATGGTATAGCAAATAGTAAGCTAGGGATTTGATGATCGTTCTCATCGTAGGCTTGGGTTTGAGTGGGTTGATTAGTTTTCACTGGGGTAGTCATTGATGGTAGTTAGCTTTGAGAATGATGGTTTGATGGTTTGGTGATTTGAGATGAATGTATGTACGTTTTATATTTCCAAGATTTGTTGAATTGGCTGCAGCTGTGGCAAATTAATCAGCTTTAGCAGCTTTATGTAAGCATGCAAACCCCGGCCTGCGGAAGGCTGTAGCCTGTGGTGTGAATAAATCGCTTGAACCAGTCAAGCTGTTCAAAACTTTTCATCAGGTCTTGTGACCAACACCCCGAGAGGATTGAAAGGGAGGTGAAGATACGAGCCGGCCGTGATCAAGAGCCCGAGCCTCCCCTTGACAAGAGGATACATATATCCGCAACGGGCTTCAATCTCACAAAAAGAAATGTGCTTATTCAGCTTATTCATCACGGCAATGGGGCAATTTTCAAGCAGGTGAACTACAGCTGTTTCCAAAATAAATGTTGCTCCTGTCGTTTTCAATTAGCTTGCTCATATCCGCGGTCAATCGATATTTTGCCCGTCTAGGTCATTTATCCCGATTGGGATCAGAAATGGACCCCATGCAGGCTCAAGGCCGCTGATCAAGCGTCGGCATCAAGGGTTGAAGCTGGCTTCAGGCAAGCAACGCAATACAACCTCCGGCCATGTCATCAGCGATTTCCGCGCTTTTCCTACCTGATTGAAAACCAAGGATATGAAGAATAAAAATTCGAAAATGACAGCAGGAACATTTATTTTCAAAACAGCTGTAAGCGGTTGGCCGATATGCTCTTGCAACATATCCCGCTTGTGTCTTGGTGAGGTGTTACGTTGTGGAACTGACCCATGATTTCATGTATGGGCGCAACCACGCAGATCCCCTTATCAACAAATGAAACAAAATATTTTCAAAATTCAAGATCGGTTGAAATCTTTGTACACAAATAAAATATGCGCACAGCTTGTGATCTGCAACCTTGCAGATCGAAAGATCATGATATTGATCTTCAAACAGATCACAAACATCACACGTTTTGGATTTTGATAGATCTTGTGGAAAGGAATTCACTCCTGAAGAGCCCACATATTTCAAGGCACCTTCACTGTCATTGCAAACTCTGACACATGTATCCACTTTGTATCAATAGATTCTATCAATTTCATTTCTCATCTTTCTCAATCAAAATTAATCAATACATCCATACAAAGGGGTATGTGTACAAACACAAAGGGGTGAAGCAGATCACTATAAATCAACCAGATTTTATGAAAACAATTGATATGGTTCATTTTTGGTTCTTGATTAGCAGATACCAATCTGACCAACATCATCACCCAAGAAGAGACTAGCCCAAGATGAAGAACAGACTTTTATCTTGACCTAGCTGTTAGACCTGGTAACCTGCTAAAACTAGCACGTGAGAGATTGATATTGAGATGGATGGCAGCCGGGACTAAGTTCACGTTTCCATAATGAGCATCATGATTTCATGAAAGAGAAGAGTGTGAGTATCACGTAGATTGCATTTTTAGAAAGTCGATCTACAAGATTGCTCACCAACTTGAGGGTCAACCGCAACCACCAGGATTGCAGTGGTATCAGTGAGTTTGTCCAGGACAGCAGTATACATTGGATGTGTAATTTCCATCGACTTGAATGGAGACCTTATCCTCCTGTGTTGTCCGTGGGGCAGGTTGCAACAAACAAACAATGATCAGTATGAATGAACATGGCAGGAAACCTTGCTTTTGAAGACTGACGCAGAAGTTGATTTGAAAGCTTTCACGATTGCTGAAGCTCTTTCAAACCGACGCTCATCTACTGCTCCAATCTGATCAGTCATTGATGCATCGGTCCATCGAGCAACAACCAATGAAGTAGCTACTTCGAATACAATCACTTCACAAGCGCAACACAACCGACCAAAGGTTTCCAAAGGTTTGTTTAATGAACTAATTTCAGGAATAAGTGTCTGGACAATTGTTGACCAAGCCTAAAACGAAATGATAAGGAGAAAAATGATTGTTAACAAGCTTGAACGCAAGCAAAAAGCGAGAAAAAGCAATCACAGTAGAGAACTGACTTTATAGATTGTTTCATCCCAGATTGATGTACTAAAGATTTGAACCATTTGATCAGAGATTCTACCTTTTGAATAATCTTCAATCTTTCTTCGAACTTCATTAGAACGTTGTTCAAAGACTGCAGCTCGATTAGATTCAGGAACAAGATCCATCTTATGAATCAAAACGTGTAATTTAAAATCACCCATACTAGAAAAAAAGAAATCGTGATTAGAATTGATCAAAAAAAGAATCTAGGAAAGGTTTAAGTACTCTTGATCTAAGACTTCTAGCACAGCTGAGATCACTCTTGAAAACCAAATCATATCCACCCTTGAAAACTCTGGACTTTCTACATCGAAGACGTATAAAAGACATCCTACGTGTGTGAATACTGATCTTCGATTGACAGCTGGTAACGAAAGAAACCCTGACATATATGCTGTGGAAGATCGAAAGAAAGTTGATTAGAATCTGGGACAGAGGGCAGAGGTCAGGCTCAGATAAGACTCAACAATCTTGACCACCGCAATCGACTAATCGGAGTCCGAAATGTCCTAAGAACTTGATCGAAGTGGTTTCCAGCTCACTATACAGATTCTCAAAATCTAATCAGTCTAATTTTTTCCTTGATTGTTATCTTTCACTAGATAAACAAACTACCACCTACATCGTAGCTCCAAGTTTCCTAGTATCAGCCGCTGCCATATTAGCAAAAATGATATTACGCATTGATGATTTTCCCGATCCTATGATTTCTCTGGATCATCAGTCGTTGTCTATCTGCTTGACGTGATCAATCATCCTACCTGATTTCCCCATAAGTAAGACCTAAGGAACAGAAAAGGGGGAAACGAAAAACAAACTGAATGTGAACAAGGAAAGGATTTGATGAGCGTTGATTGGTTGGGATAGAATTAGATTGATTGGAATTTTGGCTTACTTTTTTAGATGAATCTGGTTGAAGGTGTGACATGGTGAAGTTGTACGAAGTTGAGGTGCCGATTCTTCGTCTCTGTTGTTGCAATCGTCGTATGATGATTGTGAGTCGTGACTTCAATGAAGTGAGATTGTATCCGGCGTTCTCGGGCTGAGCTCCGAGGAAACTTCGGGTACTGGCCTGCCGCAGCCGGGCCCACTCTATTGGGAGTCCCCCGCCCCCGACACTGCCCACAGCTTGATTGAGCCCGGGGTCCGTGAGCTTTGCCCGCCCCCAAGCCGGTCTGGTAGATCATCTAAATAAGTAAATCTCATATGATACAGCCCCTTGCAGAATTGATGACTTTGGAAAAAGAGGAAACACTTGAGTTTTCAAAAAAAACCCGCGAGTTTTTTTCAAAAACTCATCAAGTTTTTCAAAAACTGAGCGAGCTCTTTCTTTTTTAGAATTACTGGGCCAGGTTTCCAAAAAAAACTCACTGACTTTTTGAAAAACCCAGCAGCTTGTTGACAAAACTCAGTCACTTTCCAAAAAAACTCGAGGTTTTTTATTTGAAAACTCTAGGTTTTTTTTTCTTCAAAGTCATCAATTATGCAAAGGGCTGTACATGATGTATCATTTGTCATTTTGACAAAATTGTCCCAAACATTGACTAAATATACCTCCATAGCTACTCAGGGGATACTCTTGAAGCCATTTGTCAGCAACAAAAAGAGTGTTACAGGAAGTTTAGTTGATGAAATCACACCAAAACTTTGAGTCAGTGTATGTAGTCAATCTCCAGTACTACTATAGTGTGTGGAGGCAACTTGTTGGCAATTTGAAATCAAGGCCCAAAAAAATTGCTAGACCACAAAATTTCTTGTCTCAGCCAGCCAATCAAAGTTCTGGAATGCTCTCATCGAGAGCATCCCATGCATATCTTTTTTGCTGTTTTTTTCAAAACAATAAATACATAGCAAGATGGCAACTTTCTTATTTTTTTTCACGTTTTGGGATACTCTCATCAAGAGCATTTCTTGCATATCTTTTTAGAGAAAAACAATGATTTTTCTGGTTTTCCTAAGGATTGGTCTTGATCACCGACTTGACTTCTATCTATGTGTGTTTGCAACCGATTAGGTTGCAGAGAAGTATTACAACATGAGGACCAAGAGCTGCTTGATTTGGGACAGTAAAAGAAACTTGAGTTGATTGGGCAGCAAACAATTAAAAAAGGTTGTGATGAAAACATTAGACTTCCATCTGATCAAAGGGGTTTCAAATTTGACTCAGCAGGGCCAAACGGGCAATTTGTATTTACTCAATTTCAAATTGACAACAACTTGGCTCCACGCACTACATTCCATTATATGTTGGACCTCAAGAAAAAATAAAAACAGTCACAACTTGTGTTTTGAACTGGATTTAACACAGCAAACACTGTATTTTTTTGTTTTCAGTGGTGAAATTCAAGGTTTAATCTTCTTTAAGGTACCAAAAAACTTTCTTATTGTTTCTCAATGTCCAACATATAATGGAATAGCTGTATGCTTTTGTCAAGCTCAAAAAATTTACAGCATGTATTACATATGATTCAGTTATCCGCATGAGCAGATAACTGAGCAGAGCGGTATGTAGATGATAGCCACTCATTCACTTAGCCTGATGCACATGTGTAGTATGGGTGTACTTATGGCTCAGGTGGGGATTGATAGATCTTTTTATGAATAATTGCAATCTTTATCATTTTCCCATTCCCACTTGGGGATAATGTATAATGTTTGGTGTTTCAGCAGAAGGTTTGTTTTGAGCTGGAGAAATACATATTAAGAAACTCACAGCCTGTTTTTGGTTGGTGTACAGATGCTGAGCCGTGGTTTGTTGAACAGGGGGTTTTGTTGTACAGTGCATCATGAGTTGAATGTGGTGTCCACCCACTCCACTTTTGGTTGGTGTACCCTGGAATCCCTGCAGAAGGTCAGTTCTTCTTTGTAGTGTCAAACATATTTCTGAACATGGTTGGAAGTGTCTGCACTTGTACATTGTCACATCCAGTGGCTACATGCCAGAAGATGTGCAGGAGGCATGATCTCAGTGTATGTTACATACATTGTGGGCTAATCTAGGGCTGGAACCAGTGAAAAAGGTTTCAGCTTTCAGGCAAGTCTGGCTTGCAGCGCGTCATGGCGCTGCGTCCGGCGCAGCCGCATAACCACGTGGATAGTTAAAATCACATGAGCTATGGTTGGTAGTGCCAAGAAGTGTCAAAGGTTGGACCAGCGGGTATTACTCTTCCAACTTGAGGCTGAGCAAGAAAACTCACTGAATTTGTGAGCCAAAGATACTGTTGGACTCCTGGCATTGATGGCAATCCAGATATGCCATTGGAAATTCATTATTTGAACTTCTTGTTTTAGTTGGTTTCTACAACATAACTAAATCTTGTCTTGAAGTGTTGTGTTTGAGAAATATCCGGTCCGAGATTTGACGCTTCTCGGCCCTAGCAACCATACACATTTTGCTAGCAATTGGGGCTGGATTGTGTTTGAGCTACGCTTCCCACTACCGGATCAAGAGCCCAAGTTACTCTTCTATGTACTTCAATGTGAGGTCGGGGTAAGGAAATTAGAGCACAATATATCTCCAATTGTGATTGTCTTTCAAGTTTAAGGATGGTAAACTTAACATTAAACCATGAAAAGATGCACTAACAATAATTGATCCACTAGCAATCTGCGGCCGGCGCCGCGGCTAGGTCATTTTTTTTGAATAGGCTTGAAGACTGAACATTGGCCGCATTGCACTCAAGATACTTGTTCCTACCTGTTTCCTTTGTTATGTGGTTGAGCAAATGTAGTTCCTCTCATCCATGGTAGTGTACAGGTTTTTTAGTTAAATTATCCAGCTCCCACTTCTTTCCTTGTTCCATCTGCTTAGCTTGGTTGCCAATTATATTGCTCCTGCTTTTCCAAGGCCTGGTTTTGAGTTGTGGAAATGGTCACCCACCGCACCAAACACATGATGACATCTTTGAGTTTGAGACAATTTACTTCTGCGTTCTTGTGAGTCTGGTCATCTCTACAGTGTTTTGTTCACAAGGATATGAAAATATGGTGATAGAAGCTCCTCAGATAGTTGAGAGGAATTGCAAGTCAGTCTATTACTCTGGTGATGAACCTCAAGAAATGCAGAATAAAACAAGGTTGAAAGTAGAATAATTATATACATGTTTTAATTGGAGTAGGTCTTAAGGGGCCTTGCACTGCATCATGTGATCATTGCAGCATCGTGAAGGAATTTCTTAGCATTTGATTTCTAACCTGAAATCTCACTTGAGCCTTACAAAGTTGCATCTAAGGCTGGGACCATCATTCTACCCTGCAATATAAACCAAGATGATGTGCCTCAAGGTATATCAAAGCAGTCTCCCAAACCAATTGGTCTGAGTAACATCTAGTTGCCAGGCCAATTTTTCTTCATGAATCACTTGCCCAAAACCAACATGTGATGAACCTCTGTAGATGGTACCCACTCATCTGATGGAAAGAGTTTGGCTTACAGCTCAATATTGAGTTTGAAATTGAATGCTACCTGAAGTTGCCTTTGGCCTGAATGTATGTATTATTCCCAGGCATGGTTACAGATAATCCCTTGGAATGACTTCTACTTGTTCAACTTGAGGTGCTACATGAGATTTGCCTCAAGAACCAAATTCAAATAACCTTTGAATTCTGAGATCTGAAAAAATTGTGGAGGCAATGGAAAAGTGTAGCTTGTTGAATAAGCATTGGTTCAGATGAACTTGGACTTGCACTCCCGTAAAGTTGCAAGATTGGAAATATCAAACTCAAACTCAAACTCATTCTCATTAAATTCTTTTTAGAAAGAAGCATATCACGTTATATCATATTAAGAGCACACACTATGGTGAGGGTGATTTATGGTAGCTTTTGTGTTTCTGAGCGCCAAATTTGATCATGCATGTAAGAACTAAATTGGTAAATACATAAAATCATAAATCACTGTGAATCAACCAGGTCCACAGTGGTATGATTTTCAAACAAAATAACTTATTTTCATAAATTTCATCCAGCAAGATATCCATCAAATTCCTTCTGCAAGCTCCTTGAAAACACAAATCAACCGTCTTTTGAAGCAACGCTCACCGTTGCTGTTGCACGTTGTTGCGGTTTTTTTGGGGAGCTGCGCTGCTGTGCAGCGCAGCTCTTGGGGTGTGAGACCCAGCCGAGCAACCAACCCTGTGAAATTTGGTTTTTTTGAACTGCTACGCAGCTGCACCTGTAGCGCCGCAGACAGCAACTGTTGCGGGTGTTGCGGGGCCATGAAGCTCAAGCGGGTAGTCTCCAGGTAGTGGCATGCAAGGGGTGAATTCCCAGCCAGTATTCTGGGAGCCTGACGCCACAAGACCAATTGCAACCCACTTTTATACGCCTGGACAAACCAATTTGGACAGGACCTCCACGTATCTGGACAATCATGATGCCTGTGGTTAGGAACTGGAGCACAGGCAATCATGCACCTATACCCGACCTCAGATCAAACTTGGAAGAAAACCAACTCTTAGTTTGTGTTGATTTTTTCCGTTCTTTATTCCTCCCTTTCATCTCCTCTATCCATCTTAATGATATAATCTCTTCATCCAATTTCCTTATTATCACAACCTGACCAATATAATCCACTTTTGAATCTTTTTATTCCAAACCTTTTCATATCACTACCTCTCACCCACCATCCAATTGACTAATGTTGTTCCGATTCATACCCTTGCTGTACTTCTTGTGATGATATAGTATGAGTTTCTGAACAT